AGTGCAGCTGCTGGTGTGAATGCAGCCTACATGGCCATTCTGTCTGTACTGTGATCTGGACCTCTGCTGAATGGAAATTTTACTTACTGGACCTCCTTTAATTTTTTTCCCCCTTATGTCTGGAATAGAGAACAACTGCTGTAGACCAGCATCCCAATCATGTCATTATAATTTAATTGCTTTTATCATTTTTATTGCTCTATCCATCACACAAAAGCATTATTTTCGTTACCACTTTTATATTTTGTTACCTTTTTTTTTTTTCTTTTCTTTTTTTTTTTTTTCCACACCACAATCAATAATTCATTTTCCATTCACTGGGGTTGCTCCTGTACAGATCAGATGAATTTAACACTTTCAGGTTATTTCCTACATTTTTCAGTTCTATTGACTACAAAATTCAATTCATAAAGATTTCAACGCAGGTTATCGCTCCTTTTATAATACCGCTGACTTCAGGCCGGAGATAATTGTAAGGAAAGCAGGTTGCTATTCGCGTTGGTGATAAAATAACACTTTGTAAGGTAATGACTGGTGAGGCAATTAAATCTGAGCTCCGGGTTTAACAATTACCCTTTGCAGTTGAATCCTTAGTCCCGCACCGCACGCCACTATTGGCAGCTAATACTCTTGGATGCGGGTGCGTCCTTGCCGCCCTCACAATGAATGTGATGTTGTTGGAAGGCCTGCATGGACCTTTACTGCAGACTGTGCTGTTCCTTGTGAGCTTGTACTGAATAGGAAGTTTAGGGAAGTGGAGATGAGAGAGTTGGAGCTGTTTGGAAACATAATGACTGTTTGGGCAAAAAATAAAAAAAATACTTTGCTGGGCAATCTATATTTGCTTGATCCGGATTCATTATTGAAAAAAGTTTGAGAGTTTTATTAATACTTTAAGGTTCCTTGCTGCTTTCACCTGCATGAGCAAAGCAGAGGTTCACTTTGTAATGTACTAAATAAGAACTCTTGGGAATATTTTTTTCTTAACCCTTGCACTGCAAGGGTTAAGTGCTCATTTTTTCAAGGTCAAAAATAAAAAACTCACCTTATCCTCCGTGCCAGCTTGCTCTTAGACCGGTCCCTGGAGCCTCTCTCCCCCTCCGCTGCTGTGGTCTTGGGTCCTGTGAGTCATCATGTTCTATACACAAAGGACACTGAGGGACGTACCATCGCTGCAGCAGAGGAAGAGACAGGCTGGAGGGAGTGCTATCGCAGCCAGCTATCTCCAAAGATGGAGGGAGTATAATTTGTTCGACCAAAAAAGAACATTTAACCTTTTGCAGTGCAGTGGTGTCCCCACTGCAAGGGTTAGGATCAACTTTCCCCAGAGTTCTGCTTTAAGCCTGCAATGTATTATCAGATGACCTGGAAGACCAGCTATGTCGGATAACAAACTCCAGTGAACAAGTCATTTGTATCTCTCCCCCTGACTCATCCAGTGAAACTCTTTTGTGTCTATCCCTGGGAGGATTATATAAAAGCTGCACACTGAAAGCTCTAGAGGCAGACAATAAAGATGGGCTATAGCTGTACTGTGTATATCTAGTAAACATTCTGCAAGAACGTCTTCAGCAGCAGTGCCAGGAGGAGGTGATACACCGAGGGTGAATATGGAACCGCCAGGACATTTTGAGGACATTTAGCACCCACGGCACATTCATCCGCATGAGACACCGGCTAAATGAGTGGGGTCGTCTGAACTGGGCAGCTGATGTCACTTGGCTTGCGGGGAAGTACATGTTGGAGCGTGCCTACGATGTTATTTTGGGATTTATCTTGATACTGGGGAGGAACGCACCAAATAAAATCAGATGTAGGTCAGAAAGTGTTCGGGTAATGGCAAGCAATTGAAGCCTTTACTTTTCCTATGAAATTAAAAGGCAAGGCTCAATTTTAAAACAAGACGCAACTTTATATATATCCTGTATAATAATAATAACTAGGGATGCACCAATACCGTTTTTTTGGTATCAAATACGAGTACCAATATATCTTTTTTTTTTTTTTTAAACCGTATACTGGTACCTGGAAGTCCCATTAAGGAAGCCGGGGCGGCGTGTAATGACTCGCCGCCCGGCTTCCTGATTAGCCAGGAAGTGACCTCCATGTTCCCTCATCACTAGGTGACAAGGAAGCATGGAGCCGGGTTTCTGGCCAATCAGGAAGCCAGGGTGTGGGAAATGACTTGCTATTACTTGCCAATCAGGAAGCCGGGCAGTGGCGGCCTGCTTCATGCTAACTCGTCACCAAGTCATTACTCCCCCCCCACGCTTCCTAAATGGCCGCGAAGTCAGCTCCGTGGTGACAAGGGAGCATGGACCCGGCTTCCCAACCAATTAGGAAGCCAGTGTTCTATCACAGATTGTGACTAGGTTGGAATGTGTGACCGGTCACATGGTCACACATTTTAATATACTCACGCCCACTTTTTCGGCGGTGGAATATGTGACCAGCAAATGGAGAAGAATTCCAATGCCTTCTCAGCTGTTCCAGGGCAGATCGGCATCGCAGATGGTATGTGCAGGAGAACTGATATGCCCTGGAACAGCGGATCAGTCCTGAAATGTCACTTCTATCCGACATTGTGACTGCGATCTCACATTCCTCAAAGTCGGATAGAAGTGACATTTCAGGACCGATCAGCTGTTCCAGGGCAGATCATTTCTCCTGCACATACAATCTGCGCTGGAACAGCTGAGAAAGCGTTGGAATTCTTGCCGGTCACATATTCCACCGCACAAGAACTGGGTGGGATTACATTAAAATGTGTGACCGGTCACACATTCCACTGCCGAAAAACTGGGCAGGATTCAGTTAAAATGTGTGACCACGTCACCGTTCACACATTGTAACGCAGTCGCAAACTTTGATAGAACACCGGACAGCGTGTAATGACTCGCCGCCTGGCTTCCTGATACCAGAAGTTCCAGTATGGGGATAGGCATTGGGAGCATTTGTACCCGCCCCCAAATACTCGGTACCGGTGTATCCCTAATAATAATAATAATAACTGAAATTGCCGGATGTAGTAAGTTTTTATAGTGTCACCTATTTTTCCTACTAGCAGCAGCAGTTTGTAGTAATAAGCAGCTCTCTGCTACATAACACCAAATTATGTGCGTCCCTCCCTTCCAGCAGGATAATCTCTCAGTGAATGACATGCATAGGCGGAGAGACCGCACCGAGCAATAGAAATTTGAACCACCTGGCAGAGCCACGGGTATAAGATTGGTCTAATGCAACATAAAGTTTATCTAAACATAAAAACAAAAAATGTCATTTATTGCAGCTTAGTAGCCTTTAGATGAGGTGGCTGCATTTGTTTTCAGTCCTTTTGTAAATGTATTTTCACCTGATGCTCCTGCCAATAATGCACTTCCTGTCCTTGGGTGGCTACGCTCGTTCCTCCACTTTATCTATGGAGGAAGCCATGGTTGTCAGTAGACTGCTCTTCTAATTTGGACTACAACCCTTGCTTTCTTCACCTGCATTACCTAGGGAGGCATTCTTATGTAGTTCACAGAAGGTAGCACTGATAAGATGGTTTAATATCAGTGCACAGGAAGTTACAAGGACACTGGAATTGTGGTAAGATGTTATCTTTCTGTACGTGCAGCAAATACACCTAGCTTGAAAAGGAAACAAATGCGGCCACCACATCCAAGTTCTGTTAACCTGCAATATATTACATTTTTGTTCTCGGGTTTGGATAACCTTTTTATGTGAACCTCAGTAAGGCGCTGATTTATAAAGTGTTCACACAGCGTAAAGCTGTGCGAGTTCCGTTCGTAGGTCGTTACTGCCACTAGATGGAGCTGAGGAGCATATGACTTGTCTATGCTCCTCGGCTCCATCTAGTGGCAGTAACAACCTGCAAACGGCTTTCACCCAGTTATACGCTGGGTGAGCGCTTTATAAATCGGATCCTAAGTAATATATGACAACATAGTACAAGGTGCCATAGGATGCCTACACATTACATTTGTGTGCCTGGCGCACACAAAAAGAGCCCAACGGTGTGCTGTATATGTAAGTTGCCGAATTTTGATTAGATAGATAGGAATTTTGAACAGGTAAAAGGGTAGGCAGTCATTTTTTTTCCCTTTCCTTTATTTACTGAATACAACGTTATCAACAAACAATCAGCAGGTAATTTGCATCACAATAAGAGCATGACATGGTCATTAGCATCCAAATATAGAACAGCAGTGCAATTGGATTTCCTTTGCCAACACCTATCCACAAAGTACATAGTGGCATACACAGGGCAACAGCCAAGTACATATTAACCAGAAACCAAATCCAACTTTTACACTATTGAAGAGTATGAAGACCAACAGTAAATGCTGGGGAAATTCGGCATAGGGGAAGTCCAAGTCACACCTTACAGGGGGCAAGAGAGAGAAGGTAGGGGGTATAAGGATTATAGGGGGGTCATTGTAAGCAGGATAAAGGAAAAGGAGGGAGGAGGAGGCGAAAGACACCGCCCCGAGGAACCCAGGGCAACCAAAAGCTTTAAAAATGCTAGTCACAGCAAGTCCTTCCCATAGAAACAGGAAGCCAACGGGATTGTGACGCACCAGGTTGACATAATCTGCAAGTATTAGTCAGTAGTCCTGAAGACATTCCAAGGGCTCCACGCAGAATGACGTTTTTCAAGGAAGCCGTAAGGTCCTCCATAGCATGAATATTGTTAACCCTAGCGAGGGTTAGGATACTTCCCAAGACCCTTGGCTGCACTGATCAGGTGTACCGTGAGGGAGGTTTTGTATTTGGAAAGGGGCCTATTGGTGAGCTGCAAAGCAGAAATTTTTAAATATATTTTAAACAAATATAAAGTGGGTGTTCTCCTAATTTAGCTGCAAAAGTGGAAATACACTTTAACTTTCTCAATGCATTGGAATTCTGGGATCTGTGGGTGATTCTTCCCACAAGTATTCTATAAATCATCTTCTTGCAGGAAGTCATGCTCAGGTTTCTTTTTCTTTTCTTCCTTGTAGAATCCTAACTCGAACCCACGTCCCTCAGCGCAGGACCTCGCCGGCTTCTGGGACCTCCTGCAACTTTCTATAGAAGACATTAGCATGAAATTCGATGAACTCTTCCAGCTCAAGGCCAACGGCTGGGCATTGAGCGAAACCCCTGACAGAAATGTAAGTCATGGTTTGCACTGGTCTGTTTGCTGGAGTTTTTTGGCCGGGGGGTGTGGGGGGGGAATCTATCAAACAATGATGAGTAATTGTAATCCATAGAGGCCTCCACCCCATGCATTACTAATTCCATGTTTGAGAAAGAAGGCGCCATCATGTGATGAATTAGTGAGGGGAATTCACTAAGTAGGAGTAGGAGCAGCTGTGCATGCCAATCAGTCAGCTTCTCTCTTTCATTTTCAACTATGAAAGGAGAACTATGAGGTGAGGGCTTTTCACTCACCTCATAGTTCAAACCCCATAGTCCTCCTTTAAAGAACTCCAGGAGAAAATGTTATCTAAAAGAGAACTATGGGGTAAGTGTTGTTCCCCATAGTTCTCTTTATGGTCACGGGAGGACATATACTAACCTCCTTCTGTGACCCAAAGCAATCTACAGGGAGATAATCGGAAAGTGAGCGAGCGACGGTATGTGTTCGCTCACTTCCCAATCAATAGAGCCGACGTGTGACAGTTGCATTGTTGCAGGTCGGCTATAACTATGAGGATGAGTGGAAATCACTTGCCTCATAGTTCTCCTTTTAACCCCTTCATGACTGAGGCCCTTTTTTCATTTTTTGCACCCATGTTATATTCCACATTTTAGGCCTGAAAATGACTTAAAACCCCCCAACATTATATATTTTCTGAATGCCAAGACCCTATAGAATAAAATGGTGGTAGTTGCAAATTTTTATGTTGCGCAAATTTAAACAGCCCCGATGCTGGCGACGTACATTGTACGTCGTCAGTCACGAAGGGGTTAAGTTATACTCACCTGAACCTCTCAGCCGGTTGGCTGTTAGACCTGTCCCTGAAGCCTGTCTCCCCCCTCCACTCCAGCGGTCTAAGGTCCTGTGAGTCATCACGTCCAATACACTGTATATTGGATGTGGGGACGCCAAGGCACATACGATTGCTGGAGCGGAGAAGGAAACCGTCTGGAGGGAGCGCTCTACCAGCCAGCTGGCGTTATTTTTCTCCCTAGACAAAAACGAGCACTTAACCCTTGGAGTGTGGAGGTAGCCCCACTGCAAGGGTTAAGAATTTTTTCCCCCGGAGGGCTTCTTTAACTGAACAAACTGAAGAGAGAAGTGGATTGGTTTCTATGCACAGCTGCTCCAGATTCTGTCTGCCTCAGTTTCAGTAAATGTCCCCCAATGTGCCTCTGGCAGTCTCCTTTCCTCAATAGAAGCCTATTAGGATGAGATCTGGGGTCCATGCCCCCAGCTTGAGGGCTAAGGTCTGCTAGCTGAAAAGTTACGTGGCTGTCATGCTAATCTTCTGGCTGCAATACTTTCTTAGCCTTTGATGCAAAATAAGTATGTAGTTCTCTCTTTAGTTGACTTGTTTAGGTTCAGCAGAAGAGCCAGGCAGCTGGTATTTTCAGAAGGACCGCAGTGGTAGCCTATGTGTTTCTTTCATGACTAGCTATTGCCCGCTATATACTGAGAGCGCCTCAGCCGGTGTTCTATCACAGATTGTGACTGCGTTAGAATGTGTGACCGGTGACGTGATCACACATTCTAACGTAGCCACGCCCATTTTTTGCCCATTGCACTCACAAAGTCGGATAGAAGTGAGATTTCAGGACCGATCAGCTGTTCCCGGGCAGATCGGTTCTCCTGCACATACCATCTGCGATGCCGATCTGCCCTGGAACAGCGGAGAAAGCTTTGAATTCTACACCTTTTGCCGGTCACACATTTTTACCCCGGAAAAAAATGGGCGTGACTACGTTAGAATGTCACGCGGTCACACATTCTAACGCAGTCACAATCTGTGATAGAACACCGGGACAGATTCCGACAACACTGTCGAGATCCACCCAGCTGCATGAGTGACAGCGGGCTCTGCCTATCTAGAGGCAGAGCCAACTGTGCCCACCCCCTCCCCTGTCCGTTCCTCCAGTTGGCACTGGAGGATCAGAGAGGGGGTAATCCCTGTGGGGAGCCGTGACTCTCAGGGAGATGATCGGGAAGTGTGCGAGTGACGATATGTGTCGCTCACTTCCCAATCTATTGAGTCAATGTATGATAGTTTCAATGTCACACTTCGCTTCAATGTCACACTTCGCCTCTAACTATGAGCATGGGTGTAAACAGCTCACCTTATAGTTCTCCTTTAAGCTCTGAGTACTGTTACCATGGCTACAAAAAAGAGCAATTTGAAGTTTTTGGCAGTTTTTCGCCAACTAAAACTGACTCCAGATTGAAATGCAAAAAAAAGTCATTTTTCAATAGCACGCAATAACCTAAAAGTATTTATTATGATTTTTACAAGTCTCTATTTTTCCCTTGGACAGGAAGTAAAGAGGCCCCCTCCCCCAGTGCCAAAGAAGCCAGCCCGGCCCAAGCCCCCGCTGAGTCGCGACAAGACCCCAGGCCAATCCAACAGCGACAAACAACGGCAAGAAGCCCGCAAAAGGCTGATGGCAGCCAAACGAGCAGCCTCGGTGCGCCAGAATTCGGCAACCGAGAGCGCGGACAGCATCGAGATCTATGTGCCAGAGGCACAGACGCGGCTCTGAGTGATGGAGCCTCCCGCGCCAATTATGGGAAACGGAGGGCGTTGGCAGACTTAGACTTACTGACAGACTGAAGCTGGAGACAGAGCGAGGAAGGCACAAGAGCACGTTCGGTCTCGGCTGCGTTTCCTGGCAAGTGGCGCCTTTCTACGAGGAGAGCGCGCCGGGACTTTTCGACTAAATATTCTTAAAACAAAGAAGCTTTTTTTTTTTTTTTTTTTTTTTTTTATTGTTTTGGT